CAAATATCAGCAACTTTATCTCATTCCCTCCTATATATTTGTAGAGTTACAACAGAAAAAATATCATATTTCCAACTGAAAATTCAGCTGATGTAAGTTGTTGATTTTCTTTTCTTATTTCATTGTCGAGGTCATATCAACTCTAAATATGTTACATGTTCAGATTCTTTTCGATATGTACATCGTTTCTATAATGACATCTCAACGGTCGTTTCTATAATGACATCTCAACGGTCGTTTCTATAATGACATCTCAACAGTCATTCTTATAAACCAGAGAAGCAGACAATCAGACAATCTTATATATCGAATATGTAGATTTGAATATTCTCTAAGTAAGGTCAGTTTTACTTTTGAACCCGAGAAGCAGACAATCAGATAATCTCATGCATTCTGTATACATATGCATACTGTATCTTTTGTAACTAGCAGAGACGCAGGCATTCAGATGATCTCAACCTAAAATATTATTCTTATGGGGGCTTGGCGACCCGGAGAACTTTTTTAAAATTGAAACCCTGTGCAAAATTATTATCATAACTGTAAAGAACAGCCGCTCCTGTAGAAAACCGGCAAATCTAGCGCGTGCAATGTTACTAGTTAACTCACACTCAGCACCCACTCCCCCCCAGACACTCCCGCAGACACTCTGATTGTCTGCTTCTCTGCTAGTTAGAAGAGATACACCATCTATAGACAATATTCAAATATGAATATAGAATGCATGAGATTATCTCATTGTCTGCTTCTCTGCTGTATTAGAAAGAAATACGATACATAGAAAATATTTAAATAGTGGAAAAAATCTAAATATGTTACATATTTAGATTTGACATCAACTGTCATTGTCTGAATATATCCTTGTCTAGGACATGTCATCAGCTAACATGGTCGATTTCAATCTTCAACAAGGGAATGATATTGATATTGAAAGCCAAAAATCTTATTCTACACCAACCCATGGTGAGTTAATTCAAAATAATATCACACCATCAGTACAACATCAGCTGATAACAAATGAGAAAAATTATGTACATACAGAAGCTGTGCCAATATATACAAGTCAAAATTCAGAATTTGTTCAATTACCACCAATCACTGAATTCCAAAAACCAATGATTTCACAAGAACAAAATCCAGGTAAAAACAAAACAAACAAATGTTATAATTACATATGTATAAATCATTAGCATTGCATATATGTCAAACTCGAAATTTGAATTCAAATAATCAAATATTGCTTTAAATATTCAAATATTCAACTTTTCAACTATTCGAATATTCAACTATTCATTTCAAATATTCAAATATTCAGTTATTCGCAATACTTGAGCGGACGAGGGCAAAACCCCACAGGGCAGCTGAGGGTGAGGGCAAAATCCTAGGAGGGTGAAAATGCCACGGGTTCTAATTAAATATTTGAAAACTGGAATAGTGGAACATTTGAATATTTCAATAATTGGATAATTGAATAGTTGAATATTTGAAGGAATATTTGAACATTTGAATTCAAATTTCGAGCTTGACACTGCTGTAGCATTGTACAAAATTCTAGGAAAATCAATCAAAACAGTACTCGAACCATCAGCAATGCCAATTGAAGAATCGAATAATCAACAACAAATGTCAATTACGTCAAATGAATTGACATATAACCAACTTATTAAATTATCTCAAGCTCATATGTGCATGACATACGATTTACGTACAAATCATGAGGCATTAGATCATCAAGAAAATCTAGAACTAGATCGTACCAGCTCGTTGGACACTGATAATCAAAACATTGATCTTCTTGACGGTGGCGAAACAACACCGCAAGAAGCTATTCTTCATCAAAAAGAAAACAGTATTTCTAATGACAACAATACTTTAATTGATTTACATTTAAAATTTTTCAAACACTATCTACAGGATAATAGTATCAATAATGACTCCCGCTGTCCAACAGCACATAAACATACAGAAAACATTTGAAAAAAAACGAAAAAAACATTTTCGAATATTAATCGCTATTAAAGAACATACAATAATAAAACGATGTACGTTCATACACAATTGTATAACTATGTAAATAATCATGACTTTCATCTGAAACCTAAAAAAAATAAATTGCAAATTCACAACTAACACTTCTACGAATCTCCGTCCGACAAATGTCCTTACCATAAACCACTCTCCAACAAAACACGAGGTATGTTTAGATTTCCGAAAAAAGCCAATTTCCCAAATTACCATAATTTACGATTCACCATACGCCTTCATCCATGAATCAAATACAGAAATTTACCAAAAATTACCTAGATTCAATAATACCCCAAAACCAAAATTACTAGAAATTTCGGCAATTACCCATTAACGAAATCCAAAATTTCGCAGTAATTCCCCAATATCCGCCAGAATTTACCATACAAATTCAGAAAATACTCCATCACGCAAAAGCAATTTCCGTAAACTTCCAAAGTCTATTACGGTAGTTTCCCAAATTTTCCCACACTTTCTGGAAATTTCTATTATTTATCGGATGGAGAAATCCGTTACCATAGGGACCCGTATATCAGAGAACAAGAGAATTTTAGAAATTTCGGTAATTTCCCAGTAACTACCAAAATTTCCTCGAAATTACCGAAATTTCTAAAAGTTCTCCTATTTTCGGAGATAGGGTTCCCTATTCTAATGGATATTTCTATCTACTAAATGATAGAAATTTCAGTATTTTCCCAGTAATTACCAAAATTTCCTCGAAATTACCGAAATTTCTATAAGTTCTCTTATTTTCGAAGGTAGGGGTGTTTATTCTAATGGATATCGCTATCTAATAAATAAAAGAAATTTCAGTAATATCCCAGTAATTACCAAAATTTCCTCGAAATTACCGAAATTTCTAAAAGTTCTCCTATTTTTGGAGATAGGGTTCCCTATTCTAATGGATATCTCTATCTAATAAATAATAGAAATTTCGGTAATTTCGCAATAATTACCAAACGTTCCTCTAATTTCCTAGTAGTTACCATATCGGTATCGTTTAGTTTACAGAAAGTGTGGGAAATTTTGGGTAATTACCGTAATAGACTTTGGAAGTTTACGGAAATTTCTTTTGTTTGATGGAATGTTTTCTGAATGTGTGTGGAAAATTCTCGCTGATGTTATGATAATTTTCGGAAGTTTCCTTATATTTGCTGGTTGACTTCGAGTATTTTCCGTAATTTCCTTTTACTTTGGTAGTAAATTCTTAGCAAATAGTTTTGACAATGTTTGCAATTTCGGAAATTACTGAGAAATTTTCTTTTTCGTTAGTGGGTAATTACCGAAATTTCTAGGAAATTTGGTTTTGAGATATTTGTGAATGTAGGTAATTTCTGGTAAGTTTCTGTATTTGGTTCATGGATGAATCTGTATTGTATGTTGGAATGTATGGTAATTTCGGTATTTTCTCATTTTATTGATTTTGCATTGTCGAAATTTCTGAAATTGCTTTATTTATGAAGGAAATTTCCTTTTTTGGAAATTTGAACACTGCTGGACAGCCCTGGTAAAAATTTAAGCTCTTTAGCATTTGATTTGACGGAGTTATAGCATAATCAAAATTTTCGACTGGAAAATCGCTTTTTTTCCGTATTTTACGACCTTTTTTTGCAAGCACTCTAGCGGCAAGGGAAAGCATTTTGGAAAAAAATGTCAAGAGACAAAAATGTTCAGGACACATTTCTCTATCTGCTCTGATAATTTGAGAAAAATCTGTGACAGTTCATTGAGCAACTTCGTTCGTCTCTATCGTGCACTGCCTCCTATACAGATAGGGGTGTTGTGTTGCCGTTGCACCGTTGTGTTCCAAAAATGAAAACAGTTATATCTTAACTTCTACTAAATGAGTATGAACAAAATTTTTCTTACATACTCCTTAGTTTCTGTCGTACTTCCAGTAAATATTTGCAAATTTTTATGTGCTGTCTTTTCCGAGTACTGAAGCAAGAAGAATCAAAATCAATAGATGTTGGCTCTACCTGCTAACAAGAATTAAATTTCTGTCCCACGAGTTTGATCGGATTAAAATAATTGTTTATAGCCATTTCTTAGCTAAGACTTTTCACCATTCCTGACCATATAAGCGGATCGAAGCTTTGGCTTCGAGTTACCCATTAAATCTTACAGAAATCACTTAGTCATACACTTTGATCCTTTTATGTCCCGAAAAATTTAATTCAATCTGTTAAAGCCGGTTTCGAAGCAAACACGAATTTTCTTTTCCCGCTTGATAAATTAAAGGGCGAGAAAGCTTTTGGTGAAACTTTTTGCCCTACAACCCTCTGGATCAGATAAAAACTAAAACTAAGAGGAAAATGTAGCTTTTTTTCTCCTAAATGTCCCGACCGATTTTCAATTTTGCTTGTTCGAGTTCTAGGTAACTATGAAAGATCAATCAATGATGTTTGCATCTTTTTAAGCTTACTAGACTGTTAAGTCTTTGCTCAAAATTTCACCTGATAAATAAGTATCGTTTGCCAGAAAACGGAATTTTTGCTCCAAAAATGTTTCGACAGATTAAAATGATAGTTATTTAAAGAAAACATAAGTTAATTTTCAACCTTTTTTGAATTTCATATCTTTATTTGTTTGATATGTCGACCTGAAGTGAACTGAACTGAATTTTTATTTTTGCAGGCATAGTTGTTTTAACCTCTCCTTTTCAAAAACATAAATTTAATTGTTTATATTTTTGAAAATGACAAATTAAAGGTCGAAATATCAAACAAATGAAGATATGAAGTTCAAAACAGCTGCAATTATTATCACATTTTTGACCCGAAATCGTTGTCCTCATACAGAGATTTTTATCGATTTTTTACTTAAAACGGTACAACAGCAGAACAATTCATTCAAATACTAAATATTTTCTTTATTGCAATATATATGAGTAAGTATGTGCATTAAAAAGCACATCTGTTTTTATCCCCGTTCTTTTAACGAGGCTTGTGTAATAGGTGACAGCACCGCCGACTCTTATTATTCACAATGTCAAAGCGACAGTGTTTCATTTCAATTATGTACAAAAACTTTGTATAAAATATATACTTGTTCTTTTTTCATACTATTGGTTGTTTCTTATTTCAAAAATCTGACAAGGTGTATTTTTCTGTTGTTGCCTATTTTCTCAATGAAAAAGACGATTGTTGCGATAAAAGCCATTAATTTCATATTTATCTGATGATGTTTCCACTAGTTTCTGAATGTCGTCCCTAATGAAAGGTACATTTTATGTAAAATAGAAAACCTTTCAGTTGTTTTATTAAATTTTTTTTGTAAAAATAATTTTTCATTACATCGTGTCTTCTGTTCACATAGGCGTCTTTAATGGTTATTATTATTTTTGAGGCCACCGCGGTGAAAAATGAAAAATCTTTTTGTAAACAGAATGAAACAATCAGAATTTTAATAAAAAAAGGTGACGAAGTTACAAAAGCTCGTCAACATTCAGTCACATTTTCCTTCGTTTTTCTAAAATAGATATTCTATGCTGCCGCGTGAGCATTTCCCCGAAGAACGGTATGGATTAAAGATTTTTTGCACGTTCATTTTCAGAATTTTCATGTCATTTTTCAAATAGTGTCAGAATCGAAAATTGAATCTATTTTTTAGATCATTGTATCTTAGCAACAGCACACAATCCGTAGTCGAGAAGCAACTCATTTTATAGAAAATTTTTTAATATAGTCATCGAACTATTAACAGTTGTCTGAAAGCTTTTAGTTAGTTTATAGTTGTTTTTTGTACATTCAGTGATTGAATAAATTCTACTCTAATTAAAGAAAAAAAGAAATTGTGCAAAGAATAATTGCCTTTCATACATACATAATCAAACATATTTCGAGAGGAACTTTTTATGATTGAGCTCTTTTAAGTACAAATCTTATACACAGACATTTAATCGTCTATCTCACTGAGAATTAATGAAGAATGTAAGTTATTTTTGTTGAATTATTTTTCAGAAATAGTGATTGAAAGAGAAAAATTCTTAATAATGAATATTATAAAAAGTTATTTAGTCAGCGTGATAGTACTGCGAATTGTTTCTTCTAGCTTTTAACTCGTAAGGAGACACGCTGAAGTGAAAATTACCCAGAGATTAGAATGAGTCATACAAGAGCACATTGAATTTTTTATACAACCGTTTTATACCCTTTAATCCTTTCTGTGCCTGTGTCATACTTTTGCCTAAAGTTCATGACGTAATAATTACCCAGAGATTAGAATTAGGCATGCACCGATTTCGATTTTGAAACCGAAAAATCGACGTGAAAAAACCGATGTTCGGTTTAAATCGACACCGAAAAAATGTCTTTTTACGCACATGAAAAGATAGTCTGAAGTGTCTACTTCCGGAATCTGTATTGCTTTTGGTTACAAAAGTGGTTTTTTCCGGGATTTTGAGCACGTTTTCTAAGAGCCTCGAAAAAATGGGTCTTCAAATAATGATTTTTTCCTGGATACTTATGCAATTAAAATTTTTCTGAAAACACAGCTTTGTAGAGCAAACGTTTCTGATCAAAATAAGACTTCGCACAACTCTGTATGACCTTGCATCGAAAAGTTACAGACATGTTCCTAGAAGTCATAAAATCGACTATTTCATACAGCGTTTAACTTAGCGTTTTTGCTATATAAGAGTTACACCTGAAGTGCGCTCCAAGATTATTAATAGCGGTTTGTCGTAGAGAGTTCATTCTTTTTTTGTTTAAAAGAGGAAAGAAAAATACATCGACTGACCGGCGTCGATTTTTGAATTAGGTGTTAGTTTTTTGTCAAACCGAGAATTTTTAGAAAATCCGGAAGGCTTTTTCGGGTTTCACAGGTTGTTGGTTGCTTGGAAAACCAATAAAGGCTTAATTGAAAAATCGGCTCCGGTCAGTCGATGTAGTTAGGTGTCTAGTTAAAAATAAAACAAACCCGAACTCCCAGCTTGAAGTATATTAAAAAGT